TGGAAGGAGGTCGGCCAGGAGCTGCTGGACAGCGGCTGCGTGTACCTCGTGGCCAGGGCGACCCAGGGGCTGGTGGACCCAGGAGCGGGTTCGGACCTGGTCGGGCTCGCGGCCCTGAACCAGGAGTCAAGGGCCCTCGCCGCAGTTGGCATGAAGTACGAGCTGTTTCCTCGACAGCATCAGCGGCCCCGCGCTGCTCACGGTGTGGGAGGTGCCGCGAAGGTGGTAACCTCGGTACTCTTCCCGCTGTGCATGGGAGGGGTGCTCGGCATCATTGAGACGACGGTGCTGCTGGAGGAGGTACCGCACATTTTGTCGGTCAACCTCCTGGAGTTTCTGGGCTGCGTCATCGGCCTGCCCCAGAACAAGATGACCTCCGCCACCCTAGAGACGGACATCCAGTTGACACGTCTCGGATCGGGCCACCGGATGGCCACGATTGTACAGGCGCTCGAGATGCCGCTGGGTGTGCCGGAGTCTGCACTGCGAAAGTACCCTTTTCTTTCACAGAATTCGTTTCAGTTGAACACTGGCGACGCGCCAGAGATGCTCGAGTCGGGAGTCCTGAGGGCTTACATCATCCTGGTCATCATCACTTTTGCCGTCATCCTGTTCGTGACAATGGGCGCCCGGATGATGAGCCTCGAGAGGGCCTACGAGAGGGTTGTCTCGGGGATCAGTGCCTTTGTCGTAGGGATCGGCCTCGTGATGGCCACGCACCAGAAGGGGATCAAGTACGAGCCCTTCGGGCTCTTCCAGTCTGGGGCTCAGCTAGCGTCTCAGGAGCTTAGCGTCAGATCCATTGGGGCAACTAAGGCGATATGGCCAGCAAGGGCTGCGACAAGGACCCAGTCCCGACGATCCGAGGCACCTCCGGCAGAGAGCGAGTCAGTAGCCCATCTTGGCTCGAGCCATCAGCCAGACTCCATCAACTCGATTATCGAGCAATCAGAGTCCCAGTCAGCATCCAGCAATGACCCAGAGGCTCTGGGCTTGGTTCCTTTTCCTCGCCGGGGCGGCAGCGGCGCCCTCCCCAGCTCCTCGTCAGCTCCCAGGCGCCTACCACGCGACTCAGCGGGCGCTGCAGGAGCTCCACCAGCAGTACATGGCGGGCGTTGGAGGCGACGGTGGAGAGCAGAGTCCACTGGTGCAGACGGACTCCGACACCGACACGGCAGGCGGGCAGGGTCTCGCTCAGCAGGATCAGCAAGCAGCGGCTCAGGCGGTACCGACTCCGAATCAGGAGGCAGCGGGGCAGTTGCCACCCCAGCCAGCGCCGGTGAGCCTCGCTCCCCAGGGGCTCGGGTACCAGCCGCCACCGCCGCCTTATCCCCCACCCGAGGTGGTGGCAGGTCAGGGTCGGGCGCAGCCCCAGCCAGGGACAACGACTACACCACAGCAGCAGCAGCCTTCAGCGAGCAGCGGGCTGCAGGGGTCCCCAGCGGCCACACAAGTGCCTCCTCAGGCCGCGGGTGTACCGACCATTCCCGTGAAGCCGGCGCCCGTGCTCACGAAGCCAGCACCACCGCCACTGCCCTTGACGCCGCTCCCGAAGCCATTTCCGCGGACGGGCAGGCTTCCTCCTCAGCAGGGCGGTCCAGCTCCCATCCCGGTCGGGAGCCAGCAGACGGTACCGCCTTCGAACGATCGCTCGACTCCAGCTGCAGAGTGCTCCCATCCAGCCGATCAGGTCCAGTACTACGGGAACCAGTGGGGAAGCGGCTCCAAGTGTCGAGCATGCGGCACCAGAATTGCATGGATACCGAGGGGAGCTGCAGGCGCGGCCGGACAGGGACCTGGAGGGCCAGACGATCGTCCGGAGTCGGCAGCTCAAGCAGCCCGTGCGGCGGCCAGGTCGGCCCAGAGGGCTGTGGATATCCTTCAAGAGGCGGACGGTTTCCAGCAGGGGGCGGCAGCTCTCACCATGGTCAACCAGCTCGCGAGCTACCTGCAGGCGTTGCAGTGGCAGCTGCACAACATTCCAGAGGGTCTGAGAGCCCTCGGCAACGTGCAGGAAACGCTCAACCAAATGATCCAGGTGGCTCAGAGCGTGCAGAGTCATCCGAGCCAAGTGGAGGAGGGCCTCCTCCAGATTCACCAGGCCCTGATCACGATACAGAGGGTGCTGGGGTCCATGGAGTCATTCGGAGAGAACCTCGACTTCATACAGACCACGCTGGACAATTTGGTGTCCCGCACCGGGAATATCGAGCAGGCCACCAACCAGATGGTGATGATGATGGTGTCCATCGGCACCGCTGTGCAGGGCCTGGTCGAGAACCAGAACCGCTGGCTGCGGCAGGAGGCCTCGGCTACAGCAGCGAGCAGTGCGGGGCCTCAGCACTTCGACCTCGACGCCCCGCAGGACTGGCACGTGACACCGAACATGAGCTCCGGCGCCCAGGGCGGAGGCGGAGCACAGAGCAGCAGCGGAGACCCGTGGACTACACAGACCACGACGACCACGGGTACGTACACGGAGAAGGACCTCATCTGAGCGAGCCGACGCGAGGCTTGCATACACGATCGAGGGCCCAAGAGGCCCCAGCTCTGGCGCTGCAGTTGGCAGCAGATTTTTCCAGTGACTGCGCCTGCCATGACCACGAGGCGCACGGACAAGGGCTCTCTTCCTCCCTCCAGAGCTCCTCTTTGGGCCCCCTCCCCAAGGGCCAACCCACCTTCTGTTTCCCGACGTTCGCTGCGAGCAGTCCGGGAGTCTCGGGCGAGAAGCCTCGGAGCGTTGCGAGTCCGGGGGCGCCCGAATCCTTTTACCTGGACGGAGACGTCACCAACGACGATCATGAGGTGGCCTGTCCAGGACAAGTGTCGAAGGCCCTGGAGCGACAAGCCACCTCACACTTAGGGATCTCAGGGCAAGCGTTCCTCGGCGAGGAGGCAGCTGACGGGTGCTACACTAGCCGGTCTCGAGCCAAGACCGCCTTCCTCGAAGTCTTCTCTCCTCCTCGCATTGCCCCAGAAGTTGGGAGATTAGGAGGGCCCCTCGGCAAGGACCCCAGCAAGGACCTCCTCACGGGCTGGGACTCCTCTAATAGGCTCCACGTGCAGGCCCTCTGGAGACAGATAGAGATCGAGGACCCTGAGGTCGTCTGGCTTAGTTCCGAGTGCAAGGTTTTCTCAGCGATCAATCGCCTGAATAAGAACCGGAGAGATCCAAGCGATTGGCAACAGGAGGTCCGCTGCGGTCTGAGAGACCTGATCTTGTGCATGGAGATCGCTGCTCAGAGACATGCTAAGGACCGGTACTTCGCTTTTGAGCACCCATTGTTCGCTAGCTCCTGGGCTTCCCATGTTGTGTCCTACGTGGCTTCTCTCCCGGGAGTTCAGAGGGTCAGGATAGACATGTGTCAGTTCGGCCTCCAGGTTGACGCGAGGGGTCTGAACAAAAAGCCGACGGGGATCCTCACGAATCACCCGGGCATCATTCGGGAGCTCTCGGGACACCTCTGCGTGGGGGGACATCGCCATGCGGTGTTAGAAGGCAGTCGGCAGACCTCCAGGGCTGCGAGATACACCCCTAGGTTCGTCAAGAAGATTGCCCGAGCGGTGACAGACCAGTGGAGTGGCGCCTCAGTTCGAGCCCGACCCACGTGGGCCGAGCTCTCCGAGGCCTTCCCGGCGGCAGACGACGGGAGCGAGCCTCCGGGCCAAGAGCAGGAAGCCGAGGCGGAAGGTTCCGAGAGCAGCGGAGATGAGCCAGAGACCCGAGTTGACCGGCGCAAGGCCGAAGTGCCAAGCGACCCCGATCCCAGCGAGGAAGAGAAGCGGCTCATTTTCAAATTGCACGTGAATATGGGTCATCCGGACTCCCGGAAGTTCTGTCGCGTGTTGAGGGCTGGAGGGGTTAAAAGACACTTAGTGCGGTGGGCTCGATGTAAGTTTCGGTGCTCCGAATGTGAGGAACGGCAGCGCTCGAGCAACCACCGGAAGGTCGCCATGCCCAGGACTTTCAGGTTCAACCACATTGTGGGGATCGATCTGTTCTACCTGGAGTTTCTTGGGACGACCTATCCGTTTATGAATATAGATGCTCCACCCGAGGGCCTGACCAGAAGGCGCGAGGGAGAGGCGAGAGAGGAGGGAAGCCCCGGAGCTCTCGCCGATCTCTTTTACATATCACTCCAGATCTGGCAACTGGTCGCCTCCGCGAGGCAATCTCGCTAGAAGAAGGGCTGGCTGAATACAAACACGCCTGCAGCCTCAGAGAGGCTAGACGATTCAAAGGCTCCCGGGAGCTCCGAAGAGTAGACGAGCAGACGATTTGGAAAGATTCAGCAGCCGCCACCAAGGAAAAAGCCCACCTTTTTACACAGGGCAGGGTGGGACGGGTCACTGTGAGCCAATACGATTAAGGAGGAGGCCAGGGGAGGAGAGGGAACGCATCAAGACATTCACAACCCCTCCACAGGCGGTGGAGACACGAGGCGTCACCACGGGTCAGAAACTGCACTCCGAATCTACAATCGTGCAACTGATGAATAGATGCTCCACCCGAGGGCCTGACCAGAAGGCGCGAGGGAGAGGCGAGAGAGGAGGGAAGCCCCGGAGCTCTCGCCGATCTCTTTTACATATCACTCCAGATCTGGCAACTGGTCGCCTCCACGAGGCAATCTCGCTAGAAGAAGGGCTGGCTGAATACAAACACGCCTGCGGCCTCAGAGAGGCTAGACGATTCAAAGGCTCCCGGGAGCTCCGAAGAGTAGACGAGCAGACGATTTGGAAAGATTCAGCAGCCGTCACCCATAACCCATATTATGATTCACGGGTGGGCGGGATGGGCACAATTCACAGAAAAAGATCGTAAAAACTCTCTTCGAATTTCCTTCCGGTCGGAGGTCTGGCCGTCGAATGCTGTGATCAAGGGCTAGTCTGGAAGCGCACTCCTGTGGCTCGAAGCAGCTTCTGTTCGAGGCGATTGGCGGCACGTTTGAACTGCTGCTGCTGCTCAGGAGAGAGGCGGCTGATTTGCCTCAGGAGTCGACCTTCTTTGCCGTACCTCGCCACGGAGCGGTCGCTGAGCCAGCCGCCGCGCTTCTTCAGCACTGGAAGCGTGGCGAGGCCGTTCAGGTAGTCGAGGGAAGGGCCGCCGTGCCGCAGCGTGTGCGGCGACACTTTCAGCGCTGCCAGCCCCAGTCGGCGGCTGGCCTCGCGGAACAGGCGCTCGTAGGTGGACAGCGGGAGCTCGTTGAACAGGCGCTGGACCCCCCGCGCTCTGGCTCTGGCAATAGCTGTCGAACAAGCTGCCGAAGCCAACCACGAGATCGGTCGATAGACCCGACCATCACGGTGTCGTCAAACTGCTGATTCTTGTTAGGCCGAGGTGCTGTGCCACTCGAAGGGGCCACGATCAGCGCCACCTTGTCATAGCGGTCGCCAGCCCTGCCCGAGGGCAACGCCACGTGCTCGAGGGACAGGTTGACCGCAGCCGCTGGACGGAGGTAGGTGTCGAACTGCAAGGCGCCGCAGGCAGCGGCGAGGATGGACTCGGTCGTGCCCAGCTCGAGCCAGTGGTCGGCGATCGCGGCGAACACCTCCCAAGGGCACGGGTCGCGGCTGAGCTCTGGGCAAGCTTTCACCCAGCCCGCCAGAGCTTTCACGGCATGTGGCAGGTTGCGCGAGGGCGCAACGATGCCGTGCAAGTGGGCGTAGCCGAACAGGGTGTGCCGACCAGCCCACGGCTCACAGCCGTCGAAAAAAAGAAAGTCAAAGTACGCGGAGAGGCTGGCGTCTAGCTGCTCGAGAGGAGCCAGCGCCCGGGGCGGGGCCTGCTGGCTGGCCCAGTGGACGAAGTCTGAGGAGCACGACTCGTAGTTGACGAGCGCCCCCTTCCCGACGGTCTTGCGCTCCAGAAACCTGTCGCCGGGGTCGTGTCCCGCGGCGGCCCGTCGGCAGGCCGCCTTAGCAGCACGTCGCCGATCTCGATCTGGTAGCTCCGCGCCGAGGGCCGACCCAGACCACGCGCTGGCCCCAGTGCTTGACGGCGTCCTTCCACGGGCTCTGGTAGCACCTGGGGCAGTGGAGCCTGAAGACGTCGGACGGGATCGGGCAGCCTCCGGCTCGCGCCAAGTCAGCTTCCCATCGCTCCAGCGAAGTGGCATCGGCCCCGCGGGCCGTGTCTGGAGCCGCCCGGGCCAAGATGGCTGCCCAGGAGCGGCAAAGTCGAGGAGGATAGCGCCCTGCCAGAGTCGTCTTCCAGGCCCACCGCCCCCGAGCCTCGCCGGGCCCTGGAGGCAGAAGGACTTTCCCTTCAAGAATCTCATGATGATGGTTTCCTGGGCATAGACGATGTAGCCCCTGAAGGGCCTGCATGTTGGTGGCCAGGAGGGTCGGCTTGAGATATCCCGCACCGTGCGCACAGTTATCGTATCGGACAAAGATCGCGTTCTGGCTCTGCAGCTCCTTCCTAAGGGGCTTCCAGGAGAAGAGCCTCGAGGAACGCGGGTTCTCGAGTGAGTAGAGGACGCCATACTGCTTGCAGAGTTTGATGAGCCCCAACGAGAACTTGGCCAACTGGAGGCCCCCAAGAGCGGCTGAACTCGAGCCCGTCGCGCGGGCCCTCGACCAAGTAGTGCACGGAGTCCCCAGGTGGAGGTACCACACGAGCCCCTGCTTGACCAAGCCCTTGATGTGCCTCTGGGTCCTCTGCCTCGAGACGTCCATGCGGGGGCCCCTCGAGATCTCGATGGGGCACCCGATGTTGAGGTCGGCCTCCTGACAGGCGGCGGAGAAGGCGGCGCAGCCGGCGAAGATCTCCAGGACGAACTGATGCTGAGCTGACGTCTTGACGACAGGGCTGTTGCTTTTTCTGTGCTGCTCAGTCCGTGCTCGCGGGCCCCGCTGGCGGGTGCGTCGGCGGGGCCGCGCCGCGCCTGGGCTGCATGGAGCGGCAAAATGCGCGCGAGGCCCCATGCGCCCAAGAGGTGACCGCCGTTCAGGCGGAGTCCGAACCCTCGTAGGGGTCGGGGGGGCTGCGGGCGTCTGCCGAGGCCCCATTCGCCCCAGCCCCGACCGCGAAGGCGGCGGTCGGCGGATCCGAGCGCCGGCTCGGGCTGGGGGCGAGTCGGGGACCCGCGAGCATCGCTGAAGCAGCGCCCGGCCGTGCCGGCCAGCGACAGAGGCCCCGGCAGGCAGCTCGCCTCGATCGGCCGCCCTCGAGTCGAAGTCGGTCGGGTTCCTCTTGCTCTCCACGTAGCGAAGGGACCAGTCGAGCTCGCAGCCGATGGAGAGGGCCCCGGCGCGCTGGCACAGGCGCCGAAGGGCAAAGCTGCCCGAGCGCCCCTTCTCGAAGCTGCAGAGGCTCGAGAGGTTGTCCCCGATCGAGAGAACTCTCCTCCCGTGAAGGCCGACACACCTCGAGGCCCGCACCAGGCCCATGAGCAGCACGCGGCCCTCCTTCTCATGGATGACCCCGTCGTGCTGCCGCGCGCCCTTGATGACCATCGCCCAGCGCTTGCTCGCGAGCAGCGCGTCCGGCAGCGGCGGGATCCCCACCTCCTCGGCCGGCCGCTCCACGGTCTCGATGTCGCGCCACGGCCGGCAGCGAACCGCAGGTCCGCCGCCGAGGTCGCGAGGGCCGCCACCGAGAGACCCTGCCGGGTCTGGCGAGGCTCGCCACTCGGCCGACCAGCCGCCCACGGCCCCCCAGCCATCGTCGCTCCGCTCGACCGCGTCGAAGCGCCACCGCTCTCGGTAGCGCGCCACGGCCCGAAACTCGGGCCCCGAGACGGAGGTGACGTGCAGCGCGTAGCCCACGGCAGAGGAGTCGCCGCAAAAGGCGACGCTGGCAGGCTCTGCGCTGAGACGGGCCTCGGCCAGGAAGACGAGCCAGGAGGACACTTCCAGCTCCCACTGGACGGACGCCCACAGGCGAACCTCCTCCCCGCCGCTCTCGGACATGAAGGACCAGACCTTGTCGAGCGCCGAGAGCCCGAAGCGCAGCAGCTGGCAGTGATGCACGATGTGGCCGACCAGAACCTGCAGGGCGAGCCCGCTGCAGCGGCCTCGGCGCAGCACGGCGCGCAGCGCCAAGTGGAGCCGCCAAATGCGCCGAGGCTTAGGACGTAGCAGACGACGCCGGCCATCAAACTCCACCCCCAGCAGCTCGAGCGTCTCGGCGGGCGAGTTCTCCTCGTGGTAGTGCAGCCCGCTCTTGTCGAGGTCGCCCTTGACGGCGTCCAGGGCGCGCTGCGTGGCGGCTCGGCTGAGCCCGATGACGTTGGCGTTGTCGACGTACGGCAACCGGTAGGCCAGCTCGGGCCGCGGCGCCTCCGGCGCGTGCCGGTCCTGCAGCAGGCTCGTCTCTGTCCTGCCCGCCTCGGAGGTGATGGCGTGGCAGAAGTGGAGCGCCCAGGACCACCCCATGGGCAGTCCCTCGAAGACAGGGAAGAGCATCTCGTCCGGTCCCACCGGCACGAAACACCCCCGCTCCTCGTCGAAGATCTCACTGACCCCCCAGACGTCAGCGCGCTCGGCGAAGTCGATCCCGAACAGCGAGCCCAGCTTGCGGTTGCGAAACTGGTAGAAGCCATTGTACAGGTCGACCGAGGCTGCGTTGACGTTGACCGGCTCGTCCGAGCCGACCGAGCTGTCCGAAAGGTCGAGGGGCCCGAGCGCCGCCACGGTCCCGAGCCACGTGTGCGGCGGGCGGCGACACATCCGGTTGGCCTCCCTCGCGTCGACGATGAGGCGCAGGGCCCCGTCCTTCTTCGAGACGAAGAAGATCCCCATCCTCGCTCTGATGCTCCGCCGAAAGCCCAGCAGCCCAAGCTCCTTGGGCCTCGCGAGCAGCCGGTAGCGCTCCTTCCTGGAGAAGCGCAGCTTCGGGTCCCAGAAGGGCGAGAACGGCATCTCCTGCTCGTTCGCGCGCTCGAGGTCGGAGCTGTCGCGGAGGATGCGCTTCTCCGGGTTGGCCAGCATGTCACGCTGGTCAGGCGGCGCCAGGTCCAGGACGTCGCGGACCGTGATGCCACACTCGAGAATCTTGACCCGCTCGTACGCGTACGATCCCAGGTTGCTGGGCTCGAGGCCGTACAGGTCCTTGGTGCGCAGGAGCTCCTTGAGGGCCCCCTGCTCGCTGAGGTCGGCCGGACGTCCCCCGGCTGCCCCAACTCGACGCGCCACCCGCTCGAAGACCGATAAACTGCTCGGCCCGAGGGGGCGCTCTCCTGTTGCATTTCGCCCCCGCCCAGCTGAGCGAAAGGGGCGCGACGGCCCGGCCTCCAGGGCGTTGAGCGCCCCCAGCACCGAGTGGATCCGCCGCTCACGGCTAGCCCGCCTCCGAAGTCTTTGCCGAAGGTAGCGGGGCACACCGCGTAGTTCAGGCCGAACTTGTTCAGGTACCAAAACTGGGAAGGGCTCTCCATGGCGTCGGGCTCCCTTCTCTTCCCCAGGCATAGCGGCACCGCCGCGTCGAGCTCAGCGCCTGGGGACCCAGCACTGAGTGCGTCGGCGCCCCCCGATGCAAGGCCTACTTGGCCCCCGCGCCCGGCTGGTCCTTCTTGCCAGCCTGGCGCTTGTCGTCTGCCGCCCTCTCCTCCCGCCACAGCCTTTGCTGCTTGAGGAGGAAGCCTTCGTCCTTCTGCCGCTCTGCGACCCACTTGGTGAAATTCCTCGTGGTCACCTCCCCGCCCGTGCCGATTGGGTGTGACATCATGACCTCCAGCCCCTCGAAGTCGGGCGACTTCGGGTTCCTCCGAACCGCCGCCTCGATCTGAATCAACCTCCTGATGTGCATCTCGTTCGAGAGGCTGTTCGAGAGGTCGTACTGGTCCACCGACTGCGCGACGAAGAGCGCGCTGCTCAGATGCCGGTGCTCGCGGGCCAGGCCTGACTTCGACGACGCGCCGCTCTTGGCCTCCCAGTCCAGATTGTGCGTCACGAAGTTGAAGCCCACCCGGAGCATGTTCACCATGAACTCCTCGGCGGCCTCTGGCCCCTCGAAGGGCTCGTAGGGCATCTTCGTCTTGTTCTGCTTCTTCGTCGCCTCGTCCGTGTGGAGATACCGAAGCCCTCGATGGTCCCGAACATCTCCGAGCAGCCGGGGATCGCGCCCCGGCCCGCGCCGCTTGGCCGAAAGCCATGCTTCCAGCTTGTCGTCCACGACCTGCTCGATCACAACCCCCGCGTCGTCGATCGTCACCCAGCCCACTTTGTCCCCCAGCGTGCAGCCCTCCTGGTCTCGAAGAGCGTCCAGTGGAACGATCTCCCCGAAGGCCCGATGGGCTGTGTCCGCGACTCGCCAGGTGGCGTTCTCCGCCGCGGCCGCTGGACCTGCGGCCGGTCTGAAGCCCGTCAAGTCGAAGCCCGCCACCTCCGCGAGCTCGTACGCCTCGGCCCGGATCCGAGCCAGCTCTCCCTCGTCCAGCTCCTCGTCGAAGACGAACGCCTCCCGAAGGTACACCGGGTCGATCGGCTCCCCACGCCGAAGAATGCGGATCCGATGAGCCGAGAGGTCCGCAACCTGAACGGCCAGCGTCGGCGAGCACACAATCCATCTCCCTTGACCTCCTGGGATCAGGAGGATCCGGGCGTGCCAAAACAGCCCGTTCTCGTCGTCGAAAAATCGATGAGGACTTGCTTCTCGACGATGTCGAGAGCCCTATGCGCCATTCCTCAGCCGGAGAGTGGAAGGCGTCGTCGCGAAGGGCCTGTCCACGAAGGGCTCCGCCTCGGCCGCCGAGTGGACCAGCCTGCCGCGCCGCCCGCACAGCCGCCCGAGAAGGCAGCCTCCCCCGCCACAGCCCGCCGCCAGGCAGCAGAGGAGCAGGATCAGCAGCCACGGGAACGCGGGGCACGCGTCCAGGCAGCTCTCGCAGGCCTCGCAGGCCTGTGCCGCCGGGCACTCCGGCGCTGACCGTCCGCCACGCGCAGCCGCAGCGAACTCGCCCACCAGCTGGTAGCAGGCGCTGTTGTCCGGGCACGTGACCCCCGGACAGGCCGGACAGTGCTGCTCTGGGCAGCTCAATGAGACGTCGGGGCACCGCTGCCCGAGTCCCGAAAGATCGCGGGCCACGGCCCAGAAGAAGTGAAGGGCAGCAGCGGGGCCCCCTCCCATTCAGCCGTCGCCGACAGGGGACCCCAAATCACTGTGAGCCAATACGATTAAGGAGGAGGCCAGGGGAGGAGAGGGAACGCATCAAGACATTCACAACCCCTCCACAGGCGGTGGAGACACGAGGCGTCACCACGGGTCAGAAACTGTACTCCGAATCTACAATCGTGCAACTGATGAATAGTTGACCACGGCTCTAACTTGCAGGTCTGTGCCCGCCTGGCTGACGCCAAGGCAGTCACCGTGTGGAGGGCTTTCTCCACGAGGTGGGTCAGGCCCTTCGGGGCTCCCGACTTCCTGATATCCGATGGGGGGGCGGAGTTCGGAGAGCGATTCGCTCGAGGCCTTGAACAGTGGGGCGTCTGTCATCACGTGTGTGATGCCGACAGTCCGTGGCAGAACGGGAGGGTTGAACGCCACGGTGCCTGGGTCAAGGACCGCCTGAAGGCCGAAATCGACGCTGGAGTGTCCCTCCCCAGCAGCGTCGAGGAGCTTGATGATTTGACCCACGAGCTTGTCGCCCATAAAAACTGTTTTTGGCACCGAGGAGGGTTCTCCCCTCAGCAGTTAGTCTTTGGTCGTAACCCCCGCATGCCTCACGAGCTTCTGTCCGACGACGCTCGCGGTCTCCCAGGATGGCACGACATCACCTGTCCGGCTTCTGAGCAGGACTCAGCAGGGGCCGAGTTTGCGCGAGCTCAGGAGGTCCGAGCCGTGGCCCGCAGACTGGCCATGGAGACCACGGCTCGGGAGAAGATAAGCCGTGCCTCGAGGGCCCGGGGACCCGCGTTTAAGGAGTTTACTCCCGGCCAGTGGGTGTTCGTGTGGCGAAATCTCAGCAGGACGTCGTCAAGGGCGGACGCCCTGGGTCGAAGGAGAGCCTGCTGGACCGGTCCCGGGGTGGTCGTGCTGTGTGAGAGGGGAACGGTCTGGGTGGCTGTTCGGGCTAGGCTCTGGAAGTGCTCTGTCGAGCACGTCAGGCTTGCGAGTCCCGAGGAGGAGTACGGTCTTCAGCTGGCCCAGAGTCCACAGTGGCAGGAGCTCCTGGCCCAGGTTCACACCCGGAGAGCGGCTGCTGTGGACGTGCAGAGGGAGGGACCACCTCCAGACGAGGCCTGGGACGAACCAGCCCGGCCCGACGTTGATCCAGGGCCCCAGGTGCCGAGCACCTCCGGACCCGTCCCTCCGTCGACTCAGGATCCCGAGAGTGTCGGAGCGCCGTCTCCTCCTTCTCCTCCTTCGGTCGTCGGGCCTCCGCTCAACCCAAGGGAGCCCGTGTCTCAGGCCCTGGGAAGACCGAGGCCCCCCTCGGAGGCGGGGTCGGTGGACGCTCAAGCCGGTAGTGAGAGGACCAGGCTTCCCTCCATCGCGGAGGGGTCCGGGGAGGATCTTGGACCATCGGGCGGAGGCTCCAGGCAAGTGACGGATCCCGACTCCGAGACGGAACCTGTCGGGGGTGAGGCTGAGCCAGAGGGTTCCCCTACCTCTCCTCCTCCTCCTCCCGCTCCTCCGGAGGCGAGCCGTCCCACTCCCAGAACGAGGCTGAGGCAGCCAGAGGACGTGCCTATGTGTATCCGAAGATCGAGGGCTGCGAGCAGCCCGCCGGAGGTCAAGAGAGCCCGACTCCTCGACGGAGATTCAGGGCCCTCCTCTCCCTCTCCTCCTCCGGGTCTCCCACCTTCGGCCTCTGCTCCTGCCCCGCCGGCTCCGTCCTCCGCCTCTGCTCCTCCTCCCTCCCCGGGCGGCGAAGAAGGGGAGGAGCGCCCGGCAATCTCTCGGGCCGAGGGTAGGAGGCCAGTTTCGGACATCATCCAGGACTTCGAGACGGGCCGCGTCCGAGGCCGGAGCCGGTCGCCTCGCGACCGGCAGGAGGGACAGGCGGGAGCGGAGCAGGAGAGGGAAGAGTTCCTCCTCCTCCCCGGTGGTAGTGGTGGTACCCAGGGGGTCCAGGCGGTCCTGGCCAGCCAGGTCTTGGGCGACCACAGCGACGACTGGACTGGACTGATTGCCCCGGGGAACGGCTCCTTCGCGGCCAGCCGTGGAGGCGAGGTCAGCCTCAAGCAGCTTACGCCCGATGAACGACAGAAGTTTCGAGCTGCGGACAAGAAAGAATGGGAGGCGATGATGGCCACCGGAGCGGTGGAGGTCATACCTCCCTCCAAGGCGGAAGCCGTGCGGAAGGCCCAACCGGAGCGGATTATCTCGAGTCGGATGGTCCGGCGCTGGAAGCCCGTGGAGGGCACCGGATCGGAGCCCTCGGCCAAATCCCGCTGGTGCGTTCACGGGCACCGTGATCCAGACTCAGGATCTCTCCAGGTCTATGCCCCGACTCCCCAGACGACCAGCATCATGTTGTTCGTCCAGGTGCTCATGAATTTGGGCATGCTGGCGGACATAGCTGACGTCAAAAACGCCTTCTGCCAGTCAGACCCCATGACGCGGTCGCAGGGGGACATCTACGTCGAACCTTGCGAGGGCATAGAGCTGCCGAAGGGATCACTGATTCTACTGCGGGTCAACGTCTACGGCCTGGACGACGCCCCAGTTGCCTGGAGACGCACAGTGATCAAGTTCCTCCAGCAGCACGGGTTCATCAAGAGCCTCCTCGAACCCTGCTGGTGGGTGCGGTACGGCACCCGGGGCCAGATCTTGAACATGATTCTTCTTGAAGTCGACGATTTCTTCATCGCCAGCGCGGACTCGACGACTAGGAGCTGGCTACGACAGACGCTGGAATCCCGATTCAAGTTCGGAAAGTACAGGAACTGCCACGAGGGCCCGGTCGACTTTGCCGGCCGGAGAGTGACGATTGGTCCTAACCGTGCCGTGCTGGACCAAGAAAAGTACATTCTGGAAGAGGTCAAGCCCATATCAGTGGCCCGAGGTCGCCTGGCCCGCAAAGACTCTCCTCTCGAACACTCCGAGTTCAAGGCCCTCAGATCACTGGTATATAAATTCAACTGGGTAGGACGAGAGACCAGACCCGAGGCAGCAGGAGTGGCCTCGATCCTCGCCAGTAGGCTAAAGGCGCCGACCACCGGAGACGTGTCGTTAGCCAACCGTCTCGTCCGCCACCTCCGGTCCACCGCCTCTCGTGGGCTGACGGTGTGGAGACTGGACCCGGAGAGGATGGCCTTCGTCTCCTTCTCGGACGCCGGCGGCGTGGGCGCCAAGGACGACATGCTGGACGACAAGGGCCTACCCGACGACCCGACGCAGGGAGCCTGGATGGTGCTTGCTGCCGACGCCGACGTCCTCAGCAATCAGGCCGTCAAGGCTTCGATGCTGTCCTGGAGAACCTCCAAGCTTCGCCGGAAGGTGCCGTCGACTCTCGCCGGCGAGACTCAGGCTCTCAGTGCTGCTATCGCCGAAGTCGAGTTCCTGCAAGTCCTGTACCGGGACGTAGTCTTCCAGGACGTCAACGTGCAGGACCACCGTCGTGGCTCCGGGCCCTTCACGACCATGCTACGGAGCGACTGTCGCTTAGGCTCTCGTGAACGTCAGGTCCACGTGGTAGACGCCAAGAGCATCTACGACACCATGATGAAGGAGGGTAACGCCAGCGCCCGGGACAGGAGGACGGCCATTGACATGGCCATCATATGCGCTGCCCTGGAGGAAGCGAAGGGGAAAATCCGCTGGATTCCCCATGGCCGAATGCCAGTCGACGCCCTCACCAAAGACGACATCACCAAGGGCAACGCAGCACTGTTCGACCTCATGATCAGCGGGAAGCTGATCCTTGTTGACGAATCCGAGGAGGTAGAGCGACGACGCACGACGCCAGGACTCAAGAGCCGGACCCAGGCCGCCTCCAGGAAGACCTTAGAGGGCCAGCAGCTGGTGACGTGGCAGGAATTCCAAGACCTGGTCCAGGAGGTTGGTGGTGGTGGTGGTCCCTCCCCCTCCTCCTTCTCTCTCTCCACCTCTGCCCTGTCATCCGATGCCAGGTTTCAGTAAGTCTGTTGCTAGAGTGTCAGGATGTTTTTCCTGTTCTCCTTTCTTTCCAGAGGGTTACGCAGTCGTCTCAGGAGACGCACTGCGGAAGGCGCAGGCCACAGGGGCCTAGCGCTTTGGGGCTGCAAAACCTGGGAGAAAGTCTTACCTGTGAAACAGGTGAGCATAATTTGTGTCTCAGGTTTTGCATATAGTGTGCGTGTCAGGATCTCACGCGTACTCTTGTTGGCTCAAGGGAAAACATTTACTGCGCTTGCTGCTGCCACAACCCGATGTGCCGAAGGAAAACCTTAGAGACTCCGGGGCATTGATGCGTCTTGATATGATGATCGCTACGAACCTGGACCGCGAGCGGAAGAAACAAAGACGAGACGACTTGCAAATTTGCAGATCAAAGAAAGAATTGCCCCGAAGGAAGGCAAGGCTGCCCCCGATAATCACAAGAAACCTAAGACACCGGCCGCACCGGCACAGCTGGGAGCGGGCGGTGATCATAGAGCCGCCGGCGGAAAAAATATCGCAGAGGCAGGAACGAGAGGTCTGGAAGTGAAGGCCCGAAAGGAAAGGACCGGCCTCGCTCCTCGACTCCATCGACGAAAATTCGGTAACTCGAATGCGGCACAGTCGCGGACGAGGAGTCAGTCGGAGGCCTCGCGAGAACGCCAGAGTAAGATGGTGTGCTACGCATGGTCGCGAGGCCCTCGCAACTGCAAGGGCCTTCAGAGTGGGTGCTATAACCAGCACAGAGGCTTATCTGAGGCTGAGAAGGTCAAACGTGACAAATACGAAGAAGCACAGCTCAAGGCTGGCAAGTCCTTAGGCTACCAGAGAACCTCAAGGCAAGCCGATTCTGCTGCTGCGAATGCTGGCGATGCTACGCCAACCGAGACCCCGAGAAGTCAGGAATCGAGTAAAGGCCGTGGAAAAAAAACAAAAGCAAGGGCAGAGGAAAAGGGAGAGACAAACCATGCAGGGTGTTCACCGAGACAAGAGCTTGCTCGCAAGGCAAAGACTGTTGGTTCGCGAAGCACACGCCAAACCATCCGTGAAGATGGCCAGGCACTGGCGTACTATGGGCCAGTGCCAAGATGATCGTCACATCGTTCTATCTTGTCTTGCTGATGCTTATTCGCCTCATGGCAGTGTGGTCACGATGTTCCCGCCGGCCAAGCCGACAAGGGAAGGGCAAGCATAGGCTCCCTAGCACAGCCAGCCGAGCCCACTTTGCCTGCTCTGCTCCGCTGGCTAGGGGATCCCCTGGTCTACATAATAATTCTGAAGGGCGACCAACTACGAATGACTCCAACAACGCAGGTTCATTTAATATTAACAAATGTTCCGAGGAAGCTGTTCCCGCTTCCGAAACGCATCATGAACGCAAAAAGAAGTTGACGAAACTCGTCGCTATCCTCGTTCAGTTCTCTCACACCCCGCAGCCGCTGAGCCACGCAGAGGCAAACGACTGAATCGTGCACCAGAAGACACAGGAATCGCATCGCCATTGTAGCGTGGGATTGGCGACGGACGTGCGTGTGACACCTGGCTGGAGAGTAATGTCAGCATGGAGTCGCAAATGGGAGGTGGTAATCGAGCTGATTCTGGCCTCCTGGATCTTCCTCCCTCGTCCTCCACTCCTTCTTCCAGAATCGTGATAACAGCAAGGCTGCGAACGAGCATCAGCCTCTCAGCCAGAAGCGGTTATCCCGGCTGAGCCTTTCCTGGTATCTAAAGGCTTGATCACGATCCATCACACTTTGGACAAGGAGTGGCGATGACGAGCAACGGGGACGATGAGGGAGGCAGAAGAAAGAAATGATAAGGAGGACGATCAGGACAGGACAAGAGAAAAGAAGGATGGATGAGGACGAGAAGATAGGAACGACGAGGAGAAAGGAGGTGCGTCTCGGCGAAGAAGGGAGGAGGAGGAAGAGGAGGAAAAGGAGGAGGACGCAGGGCAACGATGAGGGAAGGAGAAGCGATGAGGAACGATAAGGGAAGGGATGCGGACGGAAGAGCCACGAGGCGGGAGCGCGGGGAGGAAAGAGGCCCCAGATGGTGCCCGCGCCGCCGCCCAAGCGTGACACATGGAATAACGGAGAAATGCGAATCCAAGAAAGGAAACGAGGACGAGGATGAGGAGCAGGGGGTGGAGCGTAAAAAAACAAAACATGATCGACCCACGAACCCGGAAAGGAATATAAACATGTAACGCATGGCAACGTTTTCAAAAACACCTGATTGGGTGACGGGCAAATGCAAGGCTGAGTGTATCGATCTTGATGTACCCGGCCGAAGGCTGTGCTGTGCTGCACCGTGCTGAATTGCGATGTGCCATGCCGCGATTGTGCTCTACAGCGTCGTGGATCGAGTCCTCCTTTGCATCCGAGTCCTGACCGAACTGATCTGGATCTTAAGCTCGAGCTGCCTGAACACATAGTAGCTGCCCCAGAACTAATTGACAAGGGGACATGCCAGGAGGACGCTCCGCGAAAAGTCCCAAGGGACGCGCCAGGCGACGTGCCAGGGGACGTGCCATGGGGTCGCACCGCGGGACGTGCCAAGGGGACGCGCTACGGAACGTGCTGGGGACAAGCGTTTCGCTCGAGACATCCTGTCAGAATCCTCGTGCTAGACATCCGCCTGAGCGACCTGAACACGTGAAAACAAGCGTTTCGCTCAACTCATCCTCAACACATTCTCATGCTAGACATCCGCCTGGGCGAACTGGACACGTGAAAACAAGTGGTTCGCTCGAGATATCCTCAACACATCTTCATGTGAGACGTCCGCCTGGGTGACCTGGGCACGTGAAAACAAGCGTTTCGCTCGAGACGTGTTCAACACATCCTCATTCTAGACATCCGCCTGGGCGACCTGTACACGCGAAAGCAAACGTCTCGCTCGAGACATCCTCAACACATGTTCATGTTAGACACCCGCCTGGGCGACCTGGACGCGTGAAAACAAGCGTACCTCTCGAGACATTCTCAACACATCCTCATGCTAGGCATCCGCCTGGGCAACCTGGACACGTGCAAACAAGCATCTCGATCGAGACTTCCGCAACACATCCTCATGCTAGACATCCGCCTGGGCGACGAGGACGCGTGAAACCAAGCGTCTTGCTCGAGACATCCTCAACAAATCCTGGCGCTAGACCTCTGCATGGGCAACCTGGAGGCGTGAAACCAAGCGTCTCGCTCGAGACATCCTCACGACCTGGGCACGTGAAAACAAGCATTTCACTTGAGAGATCCTCTGAATTCAGGTCCCCATGAGAGGACAATCTATAAGACAAAACAAGCGTTCCGCTCGAGACATCCTCAACAAGTTCTGAAAAACAAGCGTTTCGCTCGAGACATCCTCAATCATAAATTCGCTGGCCCACCTCGACCTCGATATTTATCGCAAAAAAACATCGCCGGCCCAACTAAAGTCAAACCCGGAGGTAAACCAACTAAAAGAGAACCGTGGGCGTATGCCCTTTCCGAGAACATTGGAACCATAACGAGGGTGAAGTCCAAGAATGACGAGGAAGCCATGACCCCAACATGACAGAATCCCTTCATTGCCAAGTCATTGAATCTCACATCAGTGCTCAACATAACATACATAGTACACAAAGCGTCGCTACTACAAAAGCCAGAAATATATACTCACAACGCTAGCTGTACACCATGTACCATCAGCTTGCTAATTCTACTTGACCGCATCTGCCACCGCATGTTGCTCCTCCGCCTGGCGGGAGAAGGCAATAGGGGAATGACGAGGCGAGGGAGGAGGAACACGAGAGGAGTGAGGCGGGAGGACAGCGGGGAGGATCGAAGGACTGCGCGGTCCTCTTCCTCCTTGCCTTTGCCCTTGCCTTTGCTCTTCTTTTTGTCCTTTTCCTTTTTCTGTTTCTTCTCCTCGCGTGCCTCAGCCATGCGAGCATCCTGGGCCGCCAGGTTGCCCAGGGGAGGCCCAGAGAAGGAATCGAGGTTGGCATCTGCTGGACTCGCCGACGGGAGAGGTGAAAACGAGAGAGCGAGAGAGGGAACAGCAGACTGAGCACCAGGCAAAGGAGTGGGAGAGACAGGGTCCGGGAACGCGTGAGGGGGAAGGAAGACGATGGAGCAAGAGAGCCGCGACTGCCCGACATCCGATGCCGGGGATGTTGTATGAATTTGTATGGATGAACAAATCACTGATTCCGTTTGGGAGGTTCCCTGCTCAGGACTTTGGGTTCCTAGCATTGCGCGGATTAAAAAGGACATGCCAGATGTCGGTGGGCGGCTCCCAACTCAAGATGCTGGTGAAGAGTTTCCCGCCGATTCCAGTGAGGGAGCGGCTGGGTTCTTGGGTCCACAGTGTAAAGGTAGAGACAACATGAGAAAACAGAAAATAAGAGAGAGAGAGAGAAAGAGACGCATTTCCCAGCACATGTTATGGGGAGGGGGAAAGGGAAGGGAACTCGCGAAGCACCAGCCAACGTCCATAGCACAATGCCTCTAGAATCAAACTACCGGCTGTTGAATTCACGCAACTCCGCGTGACCCGCAAAGCCCGAAACAACAAAGCAGATGCGTGTAACGGATTCTGTGCACAGACATCCCGCTGGAGGACAGGAGGAGGATGAGGGGGAGAAGGCGGGGGGAACAGCCAGACAGGGTAGTGAAGTCTCAAGACCCTCCCAGCTCGGATGATGTACAAATCAAACATACTGAACAAACAAGTTCGAGACTAGAAATGGTAGGGACCCTGTTATACAGTAGAGAGAAACTGAAGAGAACAGGTAGTGCATACACAGAGTAGAGAGCACAGGATGTCATCAGAGGACGCCATACAGGACTTATGGAGGGCAGTGACGTGTAAACGATAAAGAGGGCAAGTAGAATCAAGAGGGCCCCAAGACTGTCTAAGAGCGCCCCAAGGCGGCCCTAGAGGCGCCCAAGATGGCCCAAGAGGGCCCCAACACGGCTCAAAAAGTTGCCCATAAGAGGGAGCACGAACCGAAAACCCGCGCATTCCGCCCCAAGAGGCCACCAGGAGGCCCTAAGAGGCGCCCGAGAAGATCCAAGGCCCAAAAGAGACCCCGAAATTGCAACAATAGGCCCCCAAGAGGCCCTAGGAGGCCCCGAAAAGGTCCCAAAGAGGCTTCAAAACTGCCTCAAAAAGGCCCCCGAGAGGCACCCTACGAGGTCCCAACGAACACGTAATAGGCTTTTATACCTACAACCCAGGCACGGTGGCGGGATGGACCGATGGCCATCAAATCCGCCGCCCCCTGCTTGCAGGGGTGCACGGCGTGCTGGATGAGCTGTCAGGTTTTGGTTTTGGTTCTTTTTCTAAAAGAACTCCCCAGTGGGCTTCGGCCCGTCCCGCCGGCCACCCTTCCAGGACCTCAATTCCCGAATTTCCTGCCCCAGACGGCTCCAAGATGGCCTCCAAGACGGCCAAGATGGCCCAAGATGGCCTCCAAGATGCCTCCCAGACGGCCAAGATGGCCTCCAAGACGGGTAAGATGGCTCCAAGATGCCTCCAAGACGGCCCAAGATGCCCTCCAAGACGGCCAAGATGGCCCCAAGATGCCTCCAAGATGGCCCAAGAGGCCTCCAAGACGTTCTCCAGGAGAGCCCGAAGAGGCCAAAATCATTGGTTTTCCTTAGGTTTTTGAAGGTTTTTTGCGTTTTCTTCTTTTCGGCCTTCCGACGGCCCAAGAGGCCCCCAAGATCGCCCAAGAGGCCTCCAAGAAGGCCCTATGACGGCCCAAGGGCCCCCCAAGACGGCCCCAAGAGCGCCCCAAGACGGCCCAAGAGGCCTCCAAGACGCCCAACATGGCCTCCAAGACGGCCCTGAAGCGCCCCAAGAGGGCCCCAAGACGGCCCAGAGAGGCCCCCAAGACGGCTCCAGACGGCGTCAGACGGACCAGGAACGCCCTAAGACGGCCAAAGAGACCCCCAGGAAGCCCCCAAAGGCCCCCAAGAGGCCCAAGGAGGCCCCCAAGATGCCTCCAAGAGGCCTCGAAGAGGCCCCCAAGAAGCCCCCAACAGACCCCAAGGGTGCCCCAAGAGACTCCTAACAACCCTCATCCTCCTACTCTATTTCTTCCTCTTCCTCTTCCTGTTCATAATCATTATCTCCCATGTGTTCCCCGAAAGCTTTCCAAACCGACTCGGGGAACTCATGGTCCGATAGCTTGGCCAAGCTCTAGTCCAACTTTCGGCCACATCGGCGTTTCCAAAAAGGCAGGGGGCGGCGGTGATTCGCCGTAGGCGTCTTCGATAATGGAGAGCAAATAATAAAGAGTTGCCAAACCATAATCCGCCACCGTGCCGCTTGGCACGGAGTGGCCGTGCCTCATGCTATTTTGCCTAATCCTCTAAACCTCAGTCCTCACTCCTGCGGAGCCTGTAAGAGCCCCGAGCCCAAATTGCCAAATTTGGCGGGGCTTGGCGCGTCTTGTCGGGGGTTGTCAAGTCTTCTTGCGTGACTTGTTCGGGCCCACGAGGGCCCCAAGACGGGCCAAGAGGGAACCGAGAGACCCCCAAGAGGCATCAAAACTGCCTCCAAGAGACCCCCGAAAGGTACCCCACGAGATCACAACGAACATGCAATTTGCTTTTATACTCACAACCTAGGCACGGTGGCGGAATGGACCCCATCAAATCCGCCGCCCCCTGTTGGCTTGCCACAGGGATGCCTGGCGTGCTGCATCCTATACTCGGCTTGGTTTGGGTGTTTTCCCCTAACAACTCCACTGTAGTTTCGGTCGATTCGATAGCATGTCGATCGCCCTTCCGCCAAGTTTCCGCCGCGGTCTCTCTCACTCAATCTCTTTCTATTGCTGCTCTCACCCTGTCTCCCGCTGCCCATCTCGGCCCTACTAATTTTAGGACCCTTGGCCTAAGAGCTACGCCGCGCCTCACCGCGCGAGCAAGATTATCCCGGCAAAGCAACCTAACAGCGATGTGTAGAAGCATATCTGAAAGCATTCCCCTTAAGATTCAGATGAAAATCCAGTTGTCGAATTCTGCTGTTCTCGCAGTCGTAGTCGCATTCGCGATGACAGTCGCAGCGGCAACGGCAGTCGCAGTCACAGCCTCAGCCTCAGCCTGCCTCCTCCTCCCTCCTCCTCCTCCTCCTCCTCTTTCTCCTGCTCCTCCTCCTCCTCCTCTTCCTCCTGCTCGTCCTCGTTCTCGTCCTCCTCGTCTTGCTCGTCCTCCTCCTCCTGGTGCTCCTCCTCCTCCTCCTCCTCCTCCTCCTCCTCCTCCTCCTGGTGGTCCTCGTTCTCCTCCTCCTGGTGCTCTCCCCCCCCCTCCTCCTCCTCGTCCTCCTCCTCCTCCTCCTCCTCGTCCTCCTCCTCCCTCCTCCTCCTCCTCCTCCTCCTCCTCCTCCTCCTCCTCCTGGTAGTCCTCCCCCTCCCCTCCTCCTCCTCCTCCTCCTCCTCCTCTTCCTGGTCGTCCTCGTTCTCGTCCTCCTCGTCTTGCTCGTCCTCCTCCTCCTGGTGTTCTCTCCTCCTCTCCTCCTCCTCCTCCTCCCTCCTCCTCCTGGTGGTCCTCGTTCTCCTCCTCCTGGTACTCTCCCCCCCCCTCCTCCTCCTCCTCCTCGTCCTCGTCCTCCTCCTCCTCCTCCTCCTCCTCCTCCTCCTCTTCCTCCTCCTCCTCCTCCTCCTCCTCCTGGTACTCCTCCCCCTCCCCTCCTCCTCCTCCTCCTCCTCTTCCTGGTCGTCCTCCTCCTCCTGGTCGTCCTCCTCCTCCTGCTCGTCCTCCTCCTCCTCCTGCTCGTCCTTCTTCTCCTGCTCCTCCTGCTCCTCGTCCTGCTCCTGCTCGTCCTCGTCCTCCTGGTCTTGCTCGTCCTCCTCCTCGTCGTGCTCTTGCCCCTGCTGAAAATGTGGCCCAGGAATGGGAGTTCTGGGAAGTCGAAGAGCACGAAGTTGCCTACAGTTGGCTACGGGCATTCAAAATGTGGCCCGGGAATGGAGTTCTGGGAACTCGAAGAGCACGAAGTGGCCTACAGTTGGCTCCGGGCATTCAAAATGTGGCCCGGGAATGGAGTTCTGGGAACTCGAAGAGCACGAAGTGGCCTACAGTTGGCTCCGGGCATCCAAAATGTGGCCCGGGAATGGAATTCTGGGAACTCGAAGAGCACGAAGTGTGTGACTGTTGCATCCGGTTATTCTAAATGTGGCCCGGGAATGGCGTTCTGGGAACTCGAAGAGCACGAGTGTATGACTGTTGCATCCGGTTATTCTAAAAGTGGCCCGGGAATGGCGTTCTGGGATCTCGAAGAGCACGAAGTGTGTTACTGTTGCATCCGGGTATTCAGAATGTGGCCTGGGAATGGAGTTCTGGGAAGTCGAAGAGCACGAAGTGTGTGACTGTTGGTGAAAAACGAGCCCGGCACCTGCCGCCCGGCAACTCCCAACACCTGCCCGGACCCCCCTGTGGAGTGATCTGCTGCTCTCTTTTGATCCCACTAGAAACCTATCAGTCTTCGCTGTTAGGTAAAAAAGCTTCCCGGCGCCGCGCGCCATTCCATATCACAGTGGTAACGAAGCGGGTTTCAGCTGCCAGCAGCGACGACGCCGTCGCGAGCCACGGAATCGACGCCCACCGGCGTCCTGCGGGAGATCTTCGCCCTGATCCTCACCCTGCCCAACTATGCCGGCATCCTGCTTTTCGCACGTCAGCGACGCCCAGCCTAACCCCTCTCAGCACTTCTATCCTGGACGTCAGCGACGCCCAGCCCAAGGCCCTCATTACCTACCTCTCGGACGTCAGCGACGCCCAGCCCGGCGCCCTCATTAACTACCTCCTGGACGTCAACGCCGCCCTGCCCGACGAGTTTTCCAAGGACTTCCGCGAAGCCTTCTCGTTTAGTTTCGCGCTCTCCCGGGACTTCAACGAAGCCCTCTTGCTCTATTTCACGCTCTCCCAAGACTTCGGCGAAGCCC